CGTCGCCGATGTCCTCACAGTAAGCGTATTGCAGTTCAATCGTGTCGTTCTCGAAGATCGATGTGTACTCTTCGCACCGCTTCTTCGCGGCCGACGGCAGGTCTGCCCCAACCCTATAGACGATGAATACCAACGCGAATATTAACGATAATTTCATCGTGGTTTTTGTGTAGTTTTGTATTAAGTCAAGGCGAGAGTATTTTCATCCAGATGAAACTGAATATCTACTGACTACAACTAAATGTCAGTCATTATATACCATTTTAGTTTTTGATTGATTGTATAATATGTGGTGGTTTTTGACTGATATACTTAATTTTGTGATTTATCTTTTTTACATTGTCATTTTTGAATTATTTATTAAATCTGTTTAAGCCAAATGGTTTTAGACTGTTTTCTTAAACAATTTTATAATACTTACGTAATTGTAAAATATATTGATAATTAATTGATTAGACCTTAATTCTTATTTGGACAAGTTTATTATGATTCATGATTTTACCTTCAATTTACTAATGCAAACATTTAGCTAATTATACCGCAAAAGTCACATTACAGTTACAGTAAATCTGAGAGTAAATACATAATAAATATGTAACACAAATATGTGTACATAACAAACGAATTATTGATATTAATTTGAATGATATATAAAATTTATTTTGTTTTAAATTTAAGTGTTTAAATGAATAAGAATCAGTGTTTAAATGCATAATTAAATGAGGTGGAAATTTGAAATCAATTGCAAAATATACTTATTTTTATTATAAATTACTTTTAGATATACATGTATTCGGGTCTCTCAGTAATGATTCCCAGATTGCAATTCTAGTATGAATTTATAATTAATTGATTTTTATGAGCTATAATATAGTGCCTAGATAAAAACATATTTTAATAAAAGATGGGCTGTTATGGTGCAGATTTGTTATTCATATAATATAAATCATAAGAGCGCATATTTCATTAAAATAAGTTTTTATCTTGATATTATTTTTGGTGTATTATGACAACATTCTAAACATTAATCAATATTGCCATTGCATTATTATAAATTTATATTCACCATTTTAGTTGTAAAATAATGTTAATTTAGTTTTTACCTATTACTACTACTATTTAGACCGGCGATATATCATAAAATATTGTAATTACTGCACATTGAAACGAATATTTGAATGCATAAACTTTTATTTAATAAACAATTTAATGCATGCTTAAATACATAAATTTACAAATGTAATTTTATAAACAAAAAAATATTACAGAATATTATCATCATCATATAGTACTGGGTTTGTAACAAATTGTAACAATTGCAACAAATAATGCTATTAATTATTTTAAAAACGCATAAATTTTACAAATGTGCTTGGTTAGTTTAAGGAATGGTGGCATCGTGGTTGGGTGTATGTATTTTAATGGGTCCGTCCAGATCCATATTGTCATCTTTCAAAATGGTGGTCATGGCGTCGACCCGATCCACGGATTGTCTCCACTCGTCTCGTGTGTCGGGATCTTCGGGGTCCATGAGGTCGGCGCGTCTGTTCTTCAGGAACTTCTTCAGCCACTCCTTCTCATCGCCCGACACGTGTCCCGTCTTCTTGAGTATGGCGTTAATGGAGTCGCCGTCGTCTCCGTCTCCGTGTTGTATAATGCAGTCATAGAGAGCGCATTCAGCCAATGGTGTCTTCACGCCGTACTTCTTCGCCAATGCCATCGCTGGCCTATAAATATCATTAAAATACCCAATAAATTAATATGTATTCAATTAAAACACATTATAAGAGATGCCATACTTGTAGTACAGATCGTCGGACACCTCGTCCTGAACTTTTCTGAACTCCGAGTCCTTCGCCGCCTCTTTCCAGGCCTTTACATAACCGCCTAATTTACTCGTGTCGTCGCTCTCCTCTTTGGCCAATCTCTCCATCTCTTTCAGATACTTAGCCAACGGGTTGTTCGGCTTTTTAGCCGTGTATTTCCTGACCACAATCACCGCATCTCCCGTTCCCGTACAGAATCCGGCCCTTCCGGACGTGTATCCCCGGCCGTCGTCTATGTTCTCACAGTAAGCGTATTGCAGTTCAA